TTCCGAACTAATAAACAGTCGCTGTATCTTCGCTATTCGCCTTATTAATATTTTATTAATAATATTTTTTTATGTAAAGCAATATTTCACATTCAATTCGTTTAGTATATTATCTCTCAGTAAGAGATCTTAAATTATCTCTTACGTTATTCAGACTTGATTTCATATGATTTTTTTTTTCTAATTTCAGAGGCTACAATTTTCACATGCATTTTCTTATGTGTATTGTTAGTTTCATATAAAGGGTGGTCTGTGTTGATTACGCCAAAAAGCAATACTAGATTAAACTCGTGAAAATAATGATAACCTTCTTCTTAGTTGTTTTTTTAATATATTTTCATTTATTTATAAAGGGTGATTCAATAAGGGTTCCACATTAAAATAATAAAAAAAAACTCGGAAGAATATAAAAATATACAAACATTTTTATTTGCCATTTTGGATCATTTTTTGACACAATTCAGGTTCTATGCCGGCTATTTCGCGTCTAATCTCCTGTTTCAGCTCTGGAATAGTGTTTGGTTTATTTCTGCCTTTTAGATACCCCAAAAAAAAAAATCTAGGGGAGTAAGATCACATGATTGTGGCGGCCAATTGATATCGCCGTTACGTGAGATAATCCGACCAGGAAAATTGCCCCGCAGCAATTGTATCGTTTCTCTGGATGTGTGACAAGTGGCCCCATCCTGTTGGAACCACAAATCTTTAATGTCAACAGCTCCCAGAAAAAATCAGATATCATGTTTCGATAGCGAACACCATTAACCGTAACAGCGTTCTCCGCATTATCCTCGAAGAAAAAGGGCCAATTATTCTCCGCACCAAAATGCGCACCAAACAGTCACTTTTTGAGGTTGCATTGCTTTTTGAACAATCTCTCTTGGATTTTCTAATCCCCAAATACGAGCATTGTGTTGGTTTACAAAGCCACCAACGTGAAAATGTGCCTCATCGCTAAAGATGATTTTCGTTGAAAAATGAACCCCTTGTTCTCGTATCCATTCTGCAAACACGCGGCGCTGTTGATGATCTCGAGGTTTCAACTCCTGAGTTATTTGGACTTTATATGGGTGTAGATGCAAGTTTTTTTTTGTTAAAATTCGCTGTGTGGATGAATACGTAAGGCGCACTTGCTGCGATCGATGACGAATCGATGTGTTTGGATCTTCGGCTACACTTTCGTGAACAATAGCAATATTTTGATCTGGCCGACCTGCACGAGCACGTTGAGGGACTTTGAGGTTAGTTACAGATCCAGTTTGCTCAAAATTTTGAACCACATTCCAAATTGTCCTCTCAGAATGTCGATTTTGCGCGTAGAGCCCGAAATGCATTTTTTCTTGATCGACCATTTTCATAATAGGCTTGCACAATTTTTACACGTTGTTCAGAAGTATATTGCTCCATGACTAATTTTGTTTATGTTTTGAGGTTAGAAATCTCATATGATAATAAACAAATACAGTGACGTTTCAAAAATATTTCAGATTATAATGTGGAAACTCTTATTGAATCACCCGTTATTTTACTAACGCATATTTGGCTTAATATCATTATATTCATGAGTTTAGTACAATAAAGATAGTAATTAGTAAGTATTAATTAAGACTATGAAGGCCAGTTGCTTAATCAGAGAGTATTAAATTGTTTTCAGCTCTTATATGTATGTGATACGTTATAACTAAACTTTAATTTTCTTTAATAAATAGGGCGTCTATTTCGATAAATTTCTATACAAAAATATGCCAATAATATTTTCACATTATCAGCCAATTTAAAAAATATTCTGAATCTGAATAAAAACTGGACCAGGTGCTATTTTATGAGATTTACCCACAGTGCAGCGCCCTTAGGCCACGCCTTGTTCGACAGAGCGCATGCAGACTGTACGCCCTGAGGCGTGGCTTTGTTTTTGTTTAGTTTTTAGTCATTTTCTTATAGCCGGATCCCCGAAGACGTAAACTAATGCGCGTCCTTGTCATCGAACTAATTCAGGATGTTTAATGAATTTGAATATTTAAATACTAATTTATCAATAACAATTATAATACTTACTAAAATTAATTATGGATTAATTATTGCCCATCTTGCTTCAGAATTATCAAATAAAATGAGTTTAACTAGAAAGTAAGTATAGGTTTTGCTCTAATAGTGACTTAAAATTTTCGTCTTTTGTCTCAATGTTTACCATTGCCATCAATCTCCCAGTTATGCAAGAGAATTATACAAAAATAGAATAATAACTAAGCTATAAATGCATTATCTAAAAAATATCTACAAATTAATATACATTTTGTAATTTTTGAAAAAAAAAAAAAATCACACATTTCTCTGCTATTTTTATTTGAGTTAAATAAACGATATTGCTAAAAAAAATTTGAAGGTTGCCGATTCATTCCTAACCACAAAATCTACATCTATATAAAATATTTTTCTAAAAATAACACAATAAAAATAAAAAATATCTGCAAATTAATATACATTTTGTAATTTCTGAAAAAAAAAAATAAATCACACATTTCACTGTTATTTTTATTTGAGTTAAATAAACGATATTGCTAAAAAAAAATTTGAAGGTTGCCGATTCATTCCTAACCAAAAAATCTACATCTATATAAAATATTTTTCTAAAAATAATACAATAAAAATAAAAAATATCTGCAAATTAATATACATTTTGTAATTTCTGAAAAAAAAAATAAATCACACATTTCACCGTTATTTTTATTTGAGTTAAATAAACGATATTGCTAAAAATAAATTTGAAGGCCGATTCATTCCTAACAAAAAAATCTATATCTATCTATTTTTCTATAATACTATTTAGAAAACTTCTGGTTTTCTCTTGTCAGGTTATTATTAGTTTCTAATTCAATGTAAAACATATGTTTGGGTGTATAGTGTTTAAATGTCTAACAAAATCTACTAGGGATTCTTGACCATTAGGCTGAATAACAAAAGTATAATCGACATAGCGTTTCCATAATTTTGGTCTTTTCAAAGGCTCCCATAAATATATTCGCGATGGCCGGTGATAATGGAGAACCCATAACTGTTCCCGACGCTTGTGCAAAAATTTGACCGTTGTAAGAAAAATATGTTCCAGGAAAGCATTTTTCAATTAAGGTGAGAAGGTTTGGTTCCAGATTTTCGGGCTTTAATATATCTGAAATGATGGTGAGAGTTCCAGGAATAGGAACTTTAGTAACTAACCAGAATATCTTGTGTATCAAATGTAATGCTTTTTAATTGTTCAATGAAGGGAAAGGAATTAAGTACGAAACTATCAGTTTTAATTATAAAAGGTTTTAATATGGTAAATAGTATTACAGTAGCCTGTGGAAGTTTCTTTGAGAAATTATCTTTCTATACTTACCCGAAACAGTCACACTTCTCCTTTAATTATGATTTTGTTTCCAATAATTCATAGAATAGAATAGAATTTTATTTGACTGCATTTATTAGTATAATATAAACTTACAATTGTAGGCGGGCTGGAATAAGAAGTGGCTATAATCCAGCTCGAAGTGTAATATTATTATTTATGTTTCAGTTATGGTATGGTTCCGTCCTACAACTACTTATAAAATACATCGAGAAGCAAGTTTTACTGTTTCGCTTTATATGAAACAATAAGAATTTCATTTAATTTAATAATAATAACAATAATAATAATTTCATATATAATAGAGGTATGGCAGTTTGTTGATATTCTCTTTGTTTGTGTTTTTAATTTATTTTTGCTGCTCTTTGTATTTTGTATTTACGCAATAAAGCGAGATTACTATTTACAAATATTCTATAAGTATAACAGTAGCCTGTGGAAATTTCTTTCAAAAATTAAAGCGAGACTAATTAGGAGGTATTGCATTTTTATTACTCTTCTCTACAATTTTCCATTCAAATTTCCCACCACGTAACTCCAAAAATGACTTAATCCTGTAGGTCACGGTACAGAGCTGACGAATACAGTTTCCGATATTTAATTGGAAATTTACAATTCTCTTTTTTAATAATTGATGTGCCTGACGAGTATTTGCGTACACAAAGAAATGATTTTCGGCGCACACCTCTAAATTTCACACACTAAACTGCATTTTGCTCCATTTTCTTCCTAAAAAATCATCTTCAAACACTTAACTTATATTTCGAGAACATTTAACAAGACATTCGCATATAATTAATATAACAATTTCACGCATTTTCACAAAGCCATAAGGAACAGAGCCAAAAATAAAATTGACATAACCTCACAATACAGATTAATCTTTCTGGTCAGTCAATCCAAACTGAAAACTGTCGAATTGGAGAACTGCAGCCATGTTGGTTGTTGAATGCCCCTAGGTTTTATTGGTTGCTTTGAAATCGCCGTGCATGCGCGTATTGAACCTGAAGAGCCTCTATTATCAGTATAGGCAGCGCGTCTATATATCTAGTACCTATATCGTTTTCCAAACCCGAACCGACGAATGTTTAACTATTTATCGCAGTATACAATAAAAATCATCAAAAATGCATTACTTATATTACTCCAAAAATATATAATTTAATTCTCACAGACTTAAAAAATCATGGTATGATTATTTATCAGTATAAAAGAATCTGCAAAAGATGGCTTGGATCTGTGAAAAGTGAGATGTTATTATTTTATATTCTTTTTTGCTTCTGATGATTGATATATTTGATTTTGATATATTCCTTTGTTTTTAAGTTTTTAAGTTGAGTTTTTTGATTTCAGTGCCTTACTTTATCCTTCTATAGCTCTATAGTTGATTTCTTTTAGTAGTTCGCCAGTAGTTAGTGACTACCTTTATATTTAGGATAGATTTAGGTATTTAGGATAAGTTAATTTTTAATGCTATAACTACAAATATTGTACTTCAAGAAACACTGTGAAAATCGTTAGAAGATATTTTGAAACTAGATATATCTACCTAAAAATAAAACTGACAAAGACATTAAAGTAAAATTAAATTTCTTTCACTATCGTGAATGCCATTTGGCAAAATCCAAAATCACTTTATTGTGTCGTACACATTACAATATATATTAACATGTGAGACGCCCGCGCCTTTAACGATACCCGGCTCGCATCCAGCTTACGGGAACCGGGACCCTTTCGGGCAACGGCCTCCTCTTCCCGGAAGCTACTGAAGGTTCCACTACCAAAGGAGATCCCCTGAAATTGAACCCATTGAGTTTGTCTATGGCCTTGTCAGCGGACGATTGATCGGGACAGTCGACGAAGGCGTACCCGCCCCTTTTGACAAGCACGCTCGTGCACGCTAGGTTCTGTTCCAGGAATAGTTGCCTGAGGGAGTTTTCGTTCGTTTCTGTGGGCAGGTTGCCGACGTAAAGCTTATTCATCGTTATCGGAGGCATTTTTGTCGACGCCATGCTTGAGCGATCGGTTTTAAAGGGGGCAACTTGTTTTGCCACGATGACGGACCAAGCGGAAATGTCAACGCGTCGCCAGGAGACTGCAAGGCATCACAAACGTACTGTACCTTAAACGGTTTTTGAACGTCCAGTTCAAGACGAAGGTATAGTCTGTCTAAAAGTATGTCGTGTATTCTTTTGACGGGAATTATCGAAATAACCCGCCGATGGTAATAATACACCAGATCAGTTGGTATTGGAGAACAGAGATTAGCATTAAATATTATATACAACAGAAAATACGATGCCACTCAGTATATACAAATTGTCCTAAATAAGTACCGACTTTCGACAGGTACATTGTTAATTGCATGTTTAATTAACTTTATTACACTCGAACTTAAAGTAGGAGTAACATTTTCTGTTCTCACATTTGATTTTGCGTGGTTTTATATGGACGTTAAAGAGTATGCCCTTACAATGACACCGTTATCTGGAATATTGTTTAAAAAATAATTTTGAAACCAGTTTTTGCAACTTTTGCACTTGTATTTTCATGATTGTCAAGGTACAGTCCTTAATATTCTTAGGAGACAGCAAGCAGTTGAGAATAAATCCCTGTTCTGATCCAGAATGAATTATTGTTACGCGCCTTTCTTTATTTTAAGGCGCTCTTGTCCGACAGTTTTTACGTGAATCCATCTCATTTCGGATCTACACTTTTTAATTTTCTTCAGATAATTAAATCTTCTAATACGCAATCTGTGCGATTCTATGACCACTTGTTTTTGTCTATTTTGCGGTATTTAAATCCCATTTTACAAATCAATCTAGGGAGGGTGATACGGCTAATAATTATGTTGCTTTCATCTTCTTCTTGCTTCTTTTTTAGTTTATCCATAATAGCAACAATCTAGTTTTGATAAAGAGAATATATTTTGCTTTTTATTATATCTTGTTCCAGACGGTTTGACATTAAAATTCATACATATTTTTCACAATTTATATAACGGACATATATATAAGAAACGAAATACTTTGAAACACAACATACTTCGAAAATATGTCCGCCTCTGCGTCTAACAGAATTGTATGTACATAGTTCACACATAATACAATAGAATGTACGCATTTGTTAAGTCTGCAAGTACGTAATACAGAAGTACTGTAAGTACGTAAATTGGTTTTCTGTACATTCATTTTACGTAAAATGTATAGATATATACCTTACACATTTTGCGTAAGATGTATAGGTATATACCTATTATGCACTAAATTGTACAAAGAAAACACAATTCTAGCCCGATATACAATATTAATTTTTCTACGTAATACGCTGATATCCACTCTAATAATTTGAAACACCAAAATGCCAATGACAGAACCATAGATATCAGATTTCTAAATTTGGTAAGTTCAACACTATTCTATGATATCAAGCGGCAAGCGACAAATAAAGATTTCTTTTATTGCACTGCTTTATTAGGCAAGTTAACTTTAAATAAGGACTTATTTTCTCGGATACATTCAAACTTTGGTAGACCTTCGGGTAGTACATAATGCATACGTTATATTACTTACGACAATGTTAAGCAGTGAATAAATACTTAAAATATACAGTACTCAGGTCGTATGATAATGTTTGGGTGAATATCACCCTGTATAAGTTGCGCCATCCCTCTGGGGCAACCATTGCGCCGAAAAAAAGCAATGTTTGCTTATCTCTCGAAATAAATGCGAGGAAAAAGCAATTGGCCCGAAATGGAATAAACAACGGGTCGGCGCAGCCGCGTTCTTTATTGAGGCAATAGGTCAAAGTTTCGTATGTATAGTTAGGTACCTAATTATAAAATTTACTTTCACGGGCCATCGTCCGACCACACGGGTACTGCCGCGTTCTCGTGAATTGAGAAACGATCTTTTGTCGGATAAATTTATAATGAGGATCGCGGATGCTTCCGGTATTCAATTCCACTATTAAGATAAACAAAATTAATAACTTGTAAATTAAAAAGCAAATGCCCGCGCAAGTTACATCCAAAAACGTACTACAAAAATATCAAACTAAAACCATGAGTAACTAAATGAAAACCCTTACTTGCATAAGTATAGTTATTTGCAGTTTAAAAACAATTAGAAAGCGATAACGAAACAAATAACCATTACAGTACAATAGCACGTAAAAGCATCGCGGCAGTGTTAACAAAATAAATGCCATTAAAGATTCACCTAAAAGCGACAACGCGATTGATTATAATAATTACTGTTTCTGTATTCGGCATAAATATATAATTATTTCAAAATTTTACTTAAGTTGCTCAAAAAAAAAGGTTACTGCACTCAAATATCGCGAAATGCTGTTCAAATTCTTCTGCGTCATAATTCTCACTTTGACGTTATAATAATTGACAGTCATATATGTACCTACATACGATCACCGTGGAATTCCAAGGATTTTTTTTTCAGAAAAGTTGCAGGTTTTTCCTGTTTTCAGTTATTTACAGTTTGGATTGTTGAATAGAATACTTTTCCCGCAAGGTTGGTTGGTTAAAAATTAGATTTTAAATCTCGCGCATTCGCATGTTACACGGACTTTCTTTAAAAAAATTCATAGTTGCTTCAAAATAACTATAAAACTTATTGCGTGACTGCAGAACTAGAACTAAATTGTCATATATATATAACGGCGGACGCATCCACATGTATTTTGAGAAAGGTAGCAATCCACTGACTCTCGTATTTGCTGTCTATCCATTTTGTTCGGCCAATATAAATTTTTATTTCAAAACTGGTTTTCAATAAATATGGTTTGTCTTCGTAAGTTAAACATGTTTAAAGTGAAATTGTTTCGTCTGTACGTATACGGCGACTTGCCGCTTTTATTACAAAATTAATGCGTTTGCGAGATTAGCCCGTTGTGTTCGAATAAGGCTTTATCTAAAGAAAAATATGAATGGCTTGCATTCCTAAATTACAGGTTACGATGTAATTTATGCGCTTTTGCAACAGATCTGATGGACTTGCTAAAAATATTTGCCGCGTTACTGCATATAAATGCGGATTTCTTAATAAATATCAATCAATTTAAAAAAATCTATATTGATATCAAAATATACAGAAAATATAATACCAAAACACAAAATTAACAAAAACGGTTTTTTGAAGGACATTTTTATTTCTCCTGAGGCATAAATCAATGCTCCTTCGGAAGGAGAAACTCAGAAAATGCATATATGTCTGATTCAATTTAACTATCCTTGGCTCTCCACCTTTTCCTTATAAGATATAACCCCTTTTGCGACAAGATCTGGAATTTCAACTGCCAGCCAGGGTCCAAGCTGCAAAAACTGCTGTTAAACATTCTGCCAGTATCCAAAAATTAACTTACCCCCAAGGCCATAGCATGAGCGATACCAAATTTAGGCACATTTCTAGCCCATAATGGCTTGAAATGGTCGCTAAGGCATATTTTACCACCTCGATACATTTTGGCAGTTTTTCCGTCCAGTTCAGGCAGCGCTAGCTCCGGTGCTGTGGTGGGATAAGTTACTGGAATCTGAAAATCAAATAATTCCGCATTTGTATACAAATGCTAGTAGTTAGGTACTTACATCAAACTCAATATCAAATTCATACTTGAGTAGATCGTGTATGTACCAGCACTTGCCGAACCATTTGGTACCCTCTTTGTTGGATTCTAAGCGAAACCAGTCATTGTCTGCCGCCTTATTGTTTTGAACATACTGTAAACATATGGTGTTACTTATTCTGGAAATATTCAAGCGCAATAAACTACTTTTATTAGTGTTTGATATTCTTCTTTTAAACGTTGCACCCAGAGTTCCTTGTCGCGAGGCCCCGCTTTCGTTTTCAGTAGCGGTATACTACTTAAAGTTTTACGTGTACTTTCATCTACCATTTCTATGGAAAAAATAACCTACATTTATGTCAAAATTTTAATTCTTGCTTAGATTATTTTCCTTGGGTGGTACGACTGTTCCTAAATTTGCTTCAAACTGGATAAATTATAAAACAACAGTTTTCAATGTGATTCGTAGGTTTCTATTACTGTGAATGCCACTGCAGGGTGGTTCCTAAGTTGCGCATTAACGTCAGAAAGTTATTTTATTGAATGCAAATTACTTTAAAAGGGCAATTTGAAAATTTCCCTGTTTGACAATGGTAATGTTTAGGTTGGTAACAAACATATGGAAACGAACAGAAAAAACTGCTAAGTTCAGAAGAGTTTGTAAAATGAGAATATTGAATGTTTTCCCGAAATCCAATGGCCAATACGTTTTTTGATTTCGATTCTTCGTTAAACGGCAATTTAGAGCTAAAGGTGAGCTTTGTAAAAACCACTGACTTTATTTTGATGGAAGAAGTTCATGTAATTTTTTCATTTTACTGGCTCCAGACTAAGGAGGGAATCAATTTTCTAGTATTGCGCTTTATGTGAAGTTCGCAATGCAACCAAATTTAAACGATATTTTCTTATTAGAACGGCGAGACCTTGCTACCAGAGGAAGATGATTGCATTGAAAATGAAGAAGAATATGATGCTTTAAATGATGAGACTTTCGGGGCTCTTGACGAATCCAGTTTGGATGATTGGGAGCAGCAGCATGAGCAGTTCGCCGAGATCAACGAGAGTTCGAAGCAGTCAGAACAAATTGGTATGTGATAATTTGGATAAAAATATATAACCAAATGTAAATATGTATTTTTTGTAGAAAATTCACTGTCCCAGTTAGTTCTGGATGATTCATCTGATGATTCAGAAGCTGGCCATGTCTCTTTTACTAAAGATCCTCTATTTGAGGCTTTTACGCCCACCCTAGGTAGAGAAGTATTGCAGCAAGAAGTACTTACCAGTATAGAAAAAGCATCAAGATATTTTGTAAGTGGTTCAATATTGCTAATTCTTCACTAGGTTCTTCATAAAGTAACTGGGTTTTTAATTTCAGATCAAGTCCCGAACAGATGCCCCAAATTTCAACAACCAGTCAGCCAGACATCCTCCAGGTTTGCCGAACAAAATTTGCACAGTTGAAGAGCTGGAGAAGAACCTTATTCAGAATTCTAGAAACAATGTCCATGTGCAACAAAAACCTTTACTTTTGCCACCCCAGCAATCACAGCCTGGGCAAAGACCAGTGCTGCCTCCCCCACCTGGAGTGCACCACTTTCATCCCATTTTACAGGTAGGTCAAGCTAATTGTTTAACTGATTAGTAAGTGATATCTTCATCTTTTGTTATTAGCACCCTAACGCTAGATTGCCACCTCCTGGTTTACCACCTCTCAGTGAGTACAAATTTTTATTTTCAATTATATTTTTAATGTTTAATGGATCCGCCTTTATATAACTAACTGTTCATAGATATGCCACCGCCTAGACCACCATTGAACGCTCACCATCACCCAATGATGCCACCAGGGATGATAAGGATGATGCCTCCACATCCACATCTAATGCAGCACAATGGTCCTCCAGGGTTTATGTACATCAACCACCATGGCAACAACCTACCCGTAAGTGTCATTTAATAGTGCATGAGGCAATTTTTATTATAAGAAAATCAGTCTTTTATTAAATAACTAATGGTTTTCAGGCCAATCATCCTTTTAATTTTCCTCCGCCACCCCATAGCATGGGTATGATGGCGAATAAGAATATGCATCAGAAAATGTACTCCAATCAGACGAGTTATGGCTCGCCGACGCATCACCATCCACGATCTCGTAATAATAGTGGCAATTACAGGTAATTAGTAAAGCTTTATTGATGTTTCCAAATACAAGGCGTTTTTACCACGGGTCACAATTTTTAAATTAATTTAAAGCTATCCTAGCATCCATCTAGAATACACTAGTAGGTCAAGGATTTAAAGTATTTTGTCTCTCCGTTTAAGGAACTGGTTTAATAGTTAATGATATACATAGATTTCTTCAATCTGAGTAATACAGGGTTTATATCTTTACACGTATTATATCAGTGAGAGGCATTATGTGTTACTATATCTTTAATATAAACTAAGCAGTCCAATATAATATCTGCAAGATTTTGTTTAAACTTCCAGTGTATTAGTGTTTGGTAAATTAGGTCTATAAATATACCCCTCTATTACTACTCTTATTACTCTTCTCCATAATAAAAAAATATATATTTTCATGAGGAGAATACCCCATAGCTAGGTATCGCGTCGCTAAAGCCGACAGGTATGTATCTCATTATAGCTTTTTCTACCTCCATATGCCTCTCCTATACTTCCATGACATATAATTCCAATTTCATTATACTTAAGATATGTGGAAGTATAGGAGAAGTATATGAAGGTATAGGAGAGTTATGGAGATATATATAGATATAATGGGATACATATGGAAGTATATGTCAGACCTACAGAGTAGGTGAAATGTACAGACCTGTCTGTCCCTAGCGACTTGAACAGAATGAAATTGACCATGCATATTACTTTATTGTTAGTGTTTTTTTATATTTTTTTATAAATAACATTGTCTTGGAAAATTTTTGGCATTCTCGCCAATATGTGCTTCAACTTCAAAAGAAAGTTTAGTATCAAAGTAAACTCTCAACTACTTATATGCTCAATATTCTTTTTATTTTACTTTTTAGATCAATAACTGGCCATTTCTGTATCCAAAACTTCAATAGATATTTTTGGTTTTTATTTCAATTGTCAATGTCATTAATATAATATAAATAATATATTAAGAACAGCAATGGTGAGAGCACCTGCTGCAATCCATGATCAATGGCGCCACTGTCAGGTGCTATTTGAAAATGTCTTTACTTAAAAAAAAATTCTTTACATTACTTGCTAAATTTGTTTGTGTCTTGTAGGTATGAACGCAGAGATCTGGAAGAAGTAAATCGAGACGAATACGCCGGATTAATGACAATAAGAGACAAACAGTGGTTATTAAACATTCAACTCTTGCAGTTAAATACCGGCACACCATATTTCGATGACTATTACTACACGGTAAGCAATGGCGTTTAAGTAAATTCGTAAAGTTGAGCGGTCCCGGGCTTTCTCAGATTTTCAAAGAGAGGAAACTTAAGAACAACAAGGAAAATACACCGAATAATGACAAAGGTAACTGGTTCGGTGCGAGCAATGGCAGGCAAAGGAGAAACAGTGAGAGGCAAGAAAACAATACTCTCACCCCCAGGGTGTATACCCCTCTACAGTTCGAGAATTCTTTAGGGAAACTGCAGGTAAGAAATTTACACAAAGTCATCAAACTGTCGGGAGATATTAGTGAGATGAATGAATGGAGTGAAAACCATAGTTTAATGTTGAATTCTATCAAAACTTGCTTTTCAAAAATTATAAGGTTTATTTGTCCAGAGTCTACCTAGATCAAACCCTAATTTGGAAAAAAAACAACTGAAAGGCTTGTTTCAAAATTAAACAACACTATAAGAATTTTTTATGTTGCAATTATGCAGTCCTGAGTTATTTATGCAATACTTTTTTGGGGATCCTCCTTGAAAATGGTCAATTCATTGCACAGAATCTAAGATGCATGTACAAGTTGCGTCCACAGGTGTCATACTTACTGTATTTTAAAAGGCTTAATGTACTCACAGCTTCTTTATACTGTCTTTATATTTTTCATTAGTTTAATGTGTTAAAAAAATCCTCTATTATTTCAAAGAAACTATAGTCTATATAAAAATATGCACATTCATTCCAGAGCGCATTTGCAGACTTTAGTCCCACCTTTTTTGAAAAGCGGCCTTACTGCAAGGCTATAAAAGCCTATAAATAAAGTCAATTAAAACGCTAAAAAACAATTTTAAAAATTACTTATTCAAATCCTACAATAACATATGCCTGAAGAAAATATATATACTGCTATTGTGACAAACCAATTTTCCTGAAATCTTAGAAATACCTCGTTCGCGTATTGTTATCTACTTTAATTTTTAATAAATAGCTTTAATTTATTGACATCTACCCACTACTTCTCTATTTCAATAAGTCTGTAATCATTTTTCTTAATTTTATTTTTTCAAATATTTTTCTGTATCTTTTATTATCTAATTTTTTAGTGTGGTTCAGTAACCGCGCCTCGAAAAATAATAGATATGGACATAGTGACACCAGATAAAGACTTGGACAGCCTGAGTCTGTCTAAAGATTCTAGGAAGACCAAACAGTTGCTTTTGGAGCTCGAGGCTCTCTATTCCTTACTGCTAAAAGCTGAGGATATTAAAAATCCATTGTTTATTAGTAATATGGAAAAGTTGCGGGAAATCAAGCAAAAGCAAAGGCAAGTCGCGTTGTCTGCGCTAAACGTTGTAGGGTTTTATTTTCCTTGATTGTATAAATAGGTTAAAGGAATTGGAACAGGCGCCGACGTCGGAGCAGAAACAAGAGGTGCTGCGGCTCTTTAAAATGGAGAGTGAACCTATTGTTGAGAACCAACTAGATTATTTCATCAAAATCGTTAGCGCTTTGCTTCAGGATGACAAATTTGCGAGTTTCATGAACATTAGGAAGGGGAAGGTCTCTTACTTTATCGCATTTTATGTAGCTGCAACTTTAAAACTGGTTTTCTAGATGTTGCTCTTGAGAGTGCTACCGCATTTGACTAGGGATCAATTTGCTTCTCAGTTGTTGGAAATCTGGAGCCGGCTGTTGCTAAGCTTACCTGTAATCGGCAGGAGAGACACTGCGGGCGACAACATCTTGCCCAAGTTCTATCCGAGCTTTAAAAGGTTTCTTGAATTGCGCCATCCCGCTTCTGAAGTCTGTCACCGGCGTTTGTTTCTGTTGCAGGTACGTACAAAACTGCGATCTTTCCGAGATATTGCACATGACGTCTGGTCTGGTTGAGGTCGTGAGGCAGGAGAATAGCAGAAGTACCCCGTTGAGTCACGTCGGCAAAGCCCCTTTATATTTCATGCTTCTGAATAAGGTGAGTGGTGGATTCTAAGTTTTTTAACGGTGTGACTGAAGTGGCTTTTACTGCACGAAAATCTATTTAACACAATTAAATTGGAACAAAAAAATGTTCAGATTTTCACGGTTTTCACGGTGCCTTTTTTAATTATTCCAATTATTCGGACACCTGTATACATATATAAATAATTATCGGTGTAGAGTTATAAATTGAAATTTAACAACAGAGACGCATTTAAATCCAATTGGTCATTAAGTAATAGATTCGAATATCTTATTTTGTTGGTATCCATAGCTTCCAACAAATTTAGTTTTTTGCTTTTTGTTTGATTATGTAAAATATCAAAATTATCGTCAAAGTTGCGCATTTCTGAACTTAAATGAATGGCATAGTTAGAATCGGAACTTTTATTTTTTTATAAAAGGGGGTATTTTTATGTTCGTTAGTGATCCACATTTCAACTTGTAGACTCCGGATTTTTGAGTTCGTAATTTAGTTTTACTGTTTTTTAAAAACTGTCCTATAATGTTTTCAGTTTTAAAAGCAATCTTAAGACTAAATTTAGATAGATGTTTCGAAATTTTCTGGCTTGTTTCTCCTATGTATTTTACTGTTTTCTAAAATTTGGGTTCTGTGTTTAATATGGGATAGAGTTCAGTTATTTGAAACTGCTTTGTAGTTATAATCTTATCTATCGAAGAGGAGTTGAAACCATTGTTAAAACCGATTGGTCAAATAATATTTTGATATTTTTCTGTGACAAGTGGTATATTAAATAGTCTGGGGATAAAAGCACCATTTTGTGTGTGTAACGGTGATTTGAGTATTATATATTATTGTGCCAGTGTGTCAGGGTTTATGGTAAATGGAAAAATCTAATTTGTTCTGTAGTTTAGTTGTAGTTAAGTCCAAAAAGTTCAATGAATTATCTAGATCTATATAGAGTTAATATGACTCAAAAAGGACTGCAGTTGTCTTTCCGTTCCAGTGAAAAAGCAAAAACATCATGTTACAGAGAAATCCCTTACTCAGAGTATGTTTATGTATGATATTTTCCAAATTGTCTATGAAAATTTCTGCAAGTAATGGACTAAGTGAGTTTTCCATAATTAATCTTTCTTTAGCAATGTAAAATTGACCATTAAATTTAAAATAATTTAATAATTATTAAACTATCTAGCAATTCTTGTTTTATGATAGGGTTGACTTGCCTCTGAGTGAGAATATTGTCTCTAATGTTTATTGCTAAGAAATAGATTTTGGACGTCAAATGAAACTAGAATTGCTGCTTTAACCTTGTTAATTAGTTCGAACGAACTTTTGATAACAGGTTTAAAGGCAATATGATATTCTAAAATTTTTATTAAAGTTGTTGAGAATTTAACTGTTACACGGTGTTGCCGAAACAGCTGTCCTAAATCATTAAATAACTGTGAAAATCTGTTTTTTAACTGTTTTTCATCTATTTTAAAATTTGTTAAAAATTTCGAAGATTTATTTATTTCACCCAAGTCCTTTTCTTGAAAAAAAATTGAGAGAGAAAAGAAGATAAAATAGCAAGGTGAGCGTATTGACCAAATTTGTGATGGTCAAGGTGTCGCTAGAAGCGCATCTGTTCCAGAAAGGCGTTTATAGCTGTATATATATATATATATATATATATAGGTAGACGAAATATTTTTATTAGGGTTGAGTATGAATTGCTTATGCATTTTTCTCTGATTTCTTTTAAATAAAACAACCGTGCTATTTCAAAATGTATAAATTTGTTACTAATATTAAACACTAAATTTAGCCAATAATTTGGGTATTTGTGTTTAAAACGACTCTGGACATAATTGACAAAGGACAAATGTACGATCTACAAAGTGGCGCAATTTTTCTTTGTTTTGTAAATATGTTTCGATATGATGTAGCATCAAATTAAAACATTTTAAACATACTTTTCTACTATACAGGTTATTATTATATATTTTTCAATGAAATGCCCTATACATTTTTGTATATTAGAAGAAATAATTGTTTGAGATGGTGATTGTTTTTGAATTTTAATGCGACAGTCTGCTATATCCTTCAATCTGCTGCCTTTATAATATTTAAAATAGATCTTAATATCGTTTAATTCATTATTAACGGCTTAATAAAACTTGTCAAAACTGATTTATCTGTATTCTTCAAAAAATTTTCTTTGTTTTGTAAAAATGTTTCGATTAATGTATCAAATTTTAAACATACTTTTATGCTGTACAGGTTAAAAATTATATTTTTTTCAATGAAATGCCCTATATATTTTTGCATATTAGAAAAAATGAATTTTAATGAGATGTTCCACAACTTAATTTCTTTTTCTTTTCTATATATCTATATCCTTCTATCTGCTGCCTTTGTAATATTTAAAATGGATCTTAATATCGTCCAAATTTTTCGATTACGTGAACATTTTTCTGCAAACCAGACGCATATTCTTGAAATGGAAAAATAGGAATAAGGCAGGGAGAAAAGGTTCTATGTTGCCAAAGACACCAAATTTCCACCAATTTCATGTAGGTATAAGCTCGTATCTTTTCCTCATTTCTATCATTCACAAGCAATAGAAGTAACACTTTCTCCGTTTTTAAAAAGAAAATTTTCTGCTGCCGATTGCTGTTTTAGCATCTCGCGACGTTACCCGGCCGCTCGGAGTTATTTGATTGGTTTAATTTTAGTTCGGGGTGTCAGCTCTGACGGTAATGCTGGTACGATCGGAATTGTTGTTCTCGTCCTCCCACACAGAGAAGCAGACCGACGAGTGGGCGACTTTTTTGTGTTCTTGGGCCAAGCATACGGAAATCGCGACTAAGGTAGCTGTCCCGATCGAGCCAGTAGCGCCGCAAACGTTCGTCAAGCACGTTAACCGTTTCCCTAGCTTATCGGCCGAGAACAAAGCGTCGCTCGAGCGGTATTTTGTCGAAACTCGGTCTCTGACTTGAGCAAATTACTTTTTCTTGACAAAATTCACCGACGCAAGCGGTTTTTAGCAATTGTTTTTTCGAGGAAACCCCCTTTTTTTACAGCTATTTGTTGTTATCCTTCGGCTTGTACATAATATCGATTTTTAATGATTTTCGAGCAGTTCCACCAATTCGTGCGGATATTTTAGGTACTTGTCGCCCACTATTTAATTTTATTTATCCGAAAAATTGTCCACCGCACGGAAAAAAACATTTTCCGATTTAACTTTATAGTTTTACTTAGGGCGCGAAATGTTGAACGTTTTATATTCGTTTGTATGATGGAGATGTTGCGACGCGTTAGGATATAGTTCCCTCGTGCAATGATATATGTTCAGGTAATTGCTCGGGGGACTTTATTCAGGTTTTATAATTTTTTTGTGTTTATTTCGAGATATCTAAATATGTTGGAAGGATATCGTTATAAGTTAACGCTTTTTTCAATTACTATTGACTAGGAGTTATTGTCAAACTGATAATAAAACAATTTAGGAGAGTGGCCTTTTTTTGCGTTAATATTATTACACATACAACGTTTAGTACAAAATATTCTCTTACAAAAAAAAACGACGAAAGCATTAAAATAGGACAATTAATTCTGTAAAAACTAAATTCGTGATTGTCTCGAAAAACCCAGTCAGTCAAAGTCAGCTGATGATACAACCCATAGAGCGCGTGAAAAAAATATAAATATCTAGGAACTTACATAACTTCCGACCTAGACGAGACCACGAAATAACAATAAGTCGTTCTTAAGATTCAAAACACTATTCAGCGACAAAAATCTACGCTTTAAACTAAGATTAAAGTTTATTGAGTGCTACGTGTGGTCACAACTACTGTATGAAGTAGAAACTTGGACTCTCGAGGCTCAGACCATCATCAAGAAAATAGAGTCTTTTGAAATATGGCTGTATCGCAGAACCTTAAAAATCCCCTGAACTGCTAGCATTACTAATGAGGAAGCATTAATAAGAATAGGACAAGAAAGGAAATTAATGAGTGTGATCAAACGAAGATAAACAACTTATCTTGACCATATTTTGAGAAATAATATGTACAAACTACTACAGATTATCATGCAGGCACGACTGGACGGAAGAAAAGGCAAAGGAAGAAAGAACATCAGAGACTAGACTTAGATGAGTGTAGGAGAGCTGATTGCAAGAGACAAAGACGCATTTAGAACCTCCCTTAGGGGATGACACTGGAAGAAAAAAAAAAGAAAATTACAAAAAAACAAATTTAATTTTCTCCAGGACCTTTGGAAGCAGCGCACAACCGACACAAAAGACCCGACATTTGCAGGAGAGTGCATAATCCATCGACAATCCTCTGGTGGGTGCATGCCACTTCCTTAATAAAAGCTAATTTCAATGGCTCATCAATGTCCATGTTCTTGCATACTTTAAATATGTTTTTGATTATATCTTCAGCAGCGTAGCCCAAATTCCAGAGGTGTTCGATTACCTTATATGCTTTCCTAATATTTCCCTCAATGCAGTACTTGATCATTTCCTTGATAAGCATGGGGTGAGGCTCATCGCATACTTTAAATACATTGGAGGAGTTAACCAAACCAAAACCATTGTGAGTTGATTGTAGATTGTTCAGAGCCTGCCTCATATCACCTTGGGCTGTAAAAACTATAGCTTCCAAGCCATCTTCTGTGAATTGGACGTTTTCCTTCTCACAAACCTGCATTACACGAGCCAACACTTGGGCATCAGTCAGCCTCGAATATCTAAGAACACCACAACGGGATTGAATGGGTTCAATTACTTTTTCACTATAATTGCAGGCTAGAGCAAATCTAGTGGTGTTGCTGTAAATTTCCATGGTTCTTCTTAAAGCCTGTTGGGCTCCATCGGTCATACTAAAAATTGCATTTCAAGTATGTAGATGCAACTGCAAAATCCTGATGCTACCTATCAACTTCATCTAAAATGATAATTTTGTGCCTACCAGGAGGCAGGGTGACCTTTTGTTGAGCAAACATCTTAACTTTGTTACGAACTACGTCTATTCCGCGGTCATTGGATGCGTTTAACTCCAGAACAGCATCTTTAAAGGCCGGACCAAGCAGAATTTTCGCTAAACAGAGAATTGTGGTCGTTTTTCCGACTCCGGGCGGTCCCTGAAATAACGAAATGTTGAGAAAACTTAACTGAGAATGTAAAGATAGCTTACGGCTATAATAAGATTAGGTACATTGCCTTGCTTGGCGAATATTGAAAGCCTAGTTACCGTGTCTTCATTACCCACAATTTCTTGGAACGTTTGCGGTCTGTATTTTTCGATCCTAAAAGGAGGTAGTTATAAGGCTGATATAAGTTGCATTACATTTTTTGCAAACCAAGGTAGATTACACGTCTTCTTAGGTAACTCACTATCGATCGCTTTAGAGGTGCCGGGTTGTTGTTCGTCAAGATCCATTACTTCCATGACAAGTTTATTTGTATATAATTGCAGAGCTTTAAATTGATTTCCCTCCAAATTTTAATAATTGAGGTTTGTTTCCCTTTAAATGTGCTACCTTCGGCCAAGACTATCTGCGACATTCGACCACTTTCTTGAGGTTTCATTGCCGCTGTTTGCCACGACTGCCAGGATCATTCCTGATTGAGATACAAGCAGAAAGTTTGTTCCTCAGGTCTCATGATTTAGAAACAAAAATTGTTTTGTATCCATCATAAATAATAAAATTTGTATACGAAACTTGTTATAATTTTAAGTGAATATGAAATTCTTGTAGATGATTTCTCTTAACAATTACCTAATTGTTACCATAATGTAGTTTCTCACGATTCCCATAGACGTTCCATTGTTGGGCAATTTTTCATTAACAGTGATGACGCATATATCAACAAAAACAAGGCGTAGTCAGTTCTAAGCTTGGTGTTCTGTGGCAAGTGGAGTTGTTTATGTTTACGTTTATTAAAAACTGAGATTTTGTTCGATCATGAACAAATTTACGGAGAACAAACAAAAAAAACGATCTTTGGCCGGAAATGTGGGTATATTCTTTGTTCTGGCTGCCTTTATTTTAGTCGCAGTGTCTTTTGCTACCCCTAGTTGGTTAGTATCAGACTACAGGATAACTGGAGCTAAGTTGAACCGGCTAGGATTATGGACACATTGTTTCCGGTCCTTGCCCGATCCGAATGACCTGCATCATCGAAGATTCTTCGTCGGTTGTAGGTGGATATATGACCCTTTCACCACTGGATATGATGAAATCAGAGGTTTTTTGGTACCGAGCTTCATGGTGGCCACTCAGTTCTTCTTCACCATTTGCTTTATAACTACTTTAATCGGAGCCATTATCACTTTGGTGTATTTTTTGTGTTGCGGTCCAGACATGAAGCAGTACCTTATGCTAATACGGATCAATTCCTGGCTATTACTTGCGGGAGGTATTTGTGGTGCAATAGCAGTGATTGTATTTGCTTCGTGTGCAAATAGGAAACGGTGGATGCCTGGCCATGATAACAATTTCTTTGGTTGGTCATTTGCTCTGGCCTGCATAGGAGTTGCTATCACTTTAGTAGCTTCAACATTGTTCTTTGTGGATGGACACATTCAGAAGAAAAAAAAACAAAGATTTAAAGAATCCCAAATGCAGTTTGAATTGGAACGCTAGAAGAAACCACCACAACTTAATCATTCCATTCAGTGGAATAACTGTGTGTTCATAATCATCTGCCTTTAAGCCGTCCAGAATAGTTTTATTATAGGTTACACACTTAAGAGTAGTTTGATAGTGTTAAGGCAAATAGTAACAAATTTTTCTTTTTCCGAGATCTGAATGCACAATGTTGATATTTTATTAATCACTTAGAAAATATTTTTATTTTCTTTTAACATGACTTGATCCTTTGACATTTTTTATATATTTTTTTGGTAAAAACAAAATAAATGTGGGTAGTAATGTGTTTTTTATTATGCATAACGTGTGTTATAACAATTGCAATAGCATGGTGTAAAATTTAGCAAAATATGACACAACATATTTATATATAAATGTTAATAGAAATATATAAAAATATTATTATTGCCTCAATTATCAGTTAACAACGATAAAAATACAAAATAACTATATTACTTAAAAAGTATCTTAAACAATGGAAGGACTTATAACCTGTAAAATGAATTGCTGGACCTTTCAAAACCTTGATGGGGATGCTGTTGTGAGTTGTCAGTGTTGCAAAAATTGAAAATATATAGATATTTTGTTAATGGTGGTATTGTTAATATAGTTTGTTTAAAAATGTCTCAGGAATTTGGAGCCAATAACAATCAATAGTATATTATGCAACAAGTGTCATAAACGGCATTTGACTCACGAGTTTATTTGACATCAGCGGAGCGAGTCAACAAGTGAGTTAAAAAGTTTACCGAACATGTTGCATACTATACTTTTTCTACGACCGTTAGTTTTTGGGTACATTTTCTGACGGTCGTAGAAAAAGTACACCTTCGGTAAAAGCATTTTGCAAAACAGATCGAGATGACAGTTCATTTTTGAGGTTTTAAACCTTTAATTTAAACTAAGGGCTACATGAGAAAACATGTAAAAACAGATGATCTCTGCAAGTATAAAAAAAATTGAAATCATTGCACATTAATAAAAAAAATCATATTTTAGCACCATTAACTAGATTCAGCACCATTTGTTAGAAATTGGCAAGCATTTTTATGCCCCACCGTTATATCATGAAATTTCTCCATGTGGTATTTGAAGGAAGACACAGAGGTCGCCCTATATGGGCATTCATTGCACTGAAAATATCAAATTTTAAAGATTAATAATACAACACAACATTACTAAGCAAAAATGAAATATTTAGAAATTACCAAATAAACATCTGCATCCAAATTGTGAGTTTTCACATGCGCAGTCATTGAAATTTTCCTTGATGTTTCAAAATTGCACTTCTCGCACTTCAATTTAATCTTTTTGTGTTTTAATTCAGTATGTCGCTTCAATGCAAAAGGAACCTTGCACTTATAAGGGCAAAGTGGGCACTTGGTGTAATCATCTTTAGTGAAGTGCACATGTTTCCTTAATATATGCGCCTTCAGCTGACACTTGTAGCGAAACTCCCGCATACAATGCCCGCAAATAAACTTTTCTACATCTTTTGAATTTTCGTGCATGTGTATTTGATGCTTTTGAACATTGTGTTTGTAAATAGACTGAAAGGGGCACTGTGGACAGCTGAATAATTTTTGCTGAGATTTGTAATGCATGCGATCCGCATGCCTTTTCACGTCTCTTGGGGTTTTGCCCTCAAAATCACACAGACTACAAAAATTTGAGCTACTGTTCATATGAATTCTCTGCATATGACCAGTTAAGTTACGTACAGAATTAGTAATGAAGTTACATTTTGCACAATTAAAGAGCTTCTGGGAGTGAGTACCGAAAATATGTGTTTTCAGACGATCCTTGCAATTGGTTCTATAATTGCATTGGGCGCAAAAGTAGTAATGGTTAACAAGGATGTGACGATTGCGTATGTGATTCTTTAAAGTTGTTTTTCTAATTGCTTTGTAAGAACAAAATTGGCAATTAAAGTATGTCAATTCCTCAGATTTTTTATGAATAATTTCATGATTTTTCAATGTATAATCATATTTAGTTTTGTAATGACATACAGGGCAATGATACCACTTTACTTTGTCTGGGTCTGCATGTATCAGTTTATGTCTCTCAAAATTTGATTCGGAAGCTCCTCTGTAGTTACACTCTTTGCACGCGTATATGGCACGACGTGTGCGTTTGCGCCTAGCCCCCTTAAGTTTTAAAACATTTTTCTCAATAACTTTTGGTTTTCGCGATTCTTCATCTGATTCACTTTTTAAAACTTCGTGATTTATTTGATATTTATTCTCGTACTGCTCGTACTCCGACTTGAACCTTGAATCTTCGATGGAACACAGTTCTGTTTTTACATTTTTAGTAAACTCGTTTTCTGATATTTTTTCTTCATTGCATTCCTCTTCAAAAATTAAATCATCGATGTTATTTAAATACAACACTTCCTCCGCTTTTAGGTTTGCGCCCATTTTACAGTAAACTATGATTTCATTATAAAAAATAAATAAAAATAAAAATAAATCAAGAACCTCCGTATATCACATTTTACTGTTAGACGATATCACAGAATACTAAGTATGATTCTGGTATTCCATATATAAAAGAAACGACAGGTTCGAATTATTTTTCATATTTGCCGCACATTTACCGCATAGGTAAGGTATGATCTATTGCCTAGAACAAATCTTTGCTTTTTATTATTTCTCAAAGCAAATAGGCTTGGATCAATTGTCCAATATATGCAGTTTATTCACTACTTTATTATTTTCTTGGAATTTTGGTATGGTGGAATTCTGTCGTGAGCTTACGCATGGCGGTTCAACCTCCGCTCGCTCCGGACAGAATCTTTTGTAATCTTCCCAAAAAAAAATTGATATCGATTTCAATTTTGTGGTTTTAGTTTTCTAAGTGTTTAGTGAAAGTTTTAAAGTGTGTAATTGTTGTCGGCTCCGCTGTTTTTGTCATCCACGCCGGTTAAAGGGTGCGTGGGCCCGGAGGATGACCCGTGGCAGAACCGGGGGTGGCCGTTTTTTGTTATCGGTCAAAGTCTTTTTTGCCAAGCTGAGAACAAATGTTGGTTATAGTTTTTTTTACGTGTTGACATGTGACCAAAAGAAAATTTCTGGGCGGATGCTGGGAAATGGGTGAATAACCATAGCAAACATGCCTAGCTTAGAGCAAAATCCTCGACGGAAGTCGGCAATGGGCGAATGATCCTAGTAGTCTAGCCCAACATTTTTTTGTGAAACGCATAATTGAATTGAATTGAATCTTCTGTATGGTTTGTTATAGCTTTGTATTAACTTAACCTCAAACGCGTGTGTGCGTAATAATCAAGTCAAAATAAACTTTTAGCGAACAAAGTCGAGATAATTCGAATAAAGTGTGAGAGCGTACCAAGGTAAATATATTAAATAATAATAAATAAATAATTTGTCTTTATGTTGATGTCTAGGTTTTAGAATATGGATGGTGATTTGTATGACGAATTTGGAAATTATATTGGCCCCGAATTGGACAGCGACGATGACGAAGAAGAAGAACAAGATCGTCAAGATGACGATGAGCAGCAGGAATATGATGTGAGTATTGCAAAGGTGTTAATAAATGATTACATGCAATACTGGTGCAGGATGAACAAATGGAAGATGAGCCTCAACCGATGGCTATAGTGCTGCACGAAGACAAACAGTATTATCCATCAGCATTGCAAGTGTACGGACCGGATGTCGAAACCATTGTGCAAGAGGAAGACACCCAAGCATTAGATGTTCCATTGGTAGAGCCTGTCAAAAAGAAAAAGTTCCAACTCAAAGAACAAGATTTGCCAGAAACACTCTACAGCATGGAATTTTTGGCAGACATGATGGATAACACTTCCCTCATCAGAAACGTGGCCCTCGTTGGGCATTTGCATCATGGCAAGACTACTTTTGTTGATTGTCTGATCCGTCAAACCCATCCAGGTTATCAAGATAATGAGGAGAAGAATTTACGGTATACTGACATTCTGTTTACTGAGCAGGAGAGAGGTTGTTCAATAAAGTCCATTCCGGTTACTCTTCTCCTTCAGGACATTAAAAACAAAAGTTATCTATTAAATATTTTTGACACACCTGGTAAAAATAATTAGCTTGGTTTCTTTTTGGGTTAAACTTTATATTTTAAGGTCACGTGAATTTTTCCGACGAGGTTACTGCCGCGATGCGCCTGTGCGACGGCGTTGTTCTCTTTGTGGATGCAGCCGAGGGTGTGATGTTAAACACGGAACGACTGCTCAAACACGCTGTGCAGGAACAGATGCAAATCACAGTTTGCATAAATAAAATTGACCGACTTATTATGGAGCTCAAATTGCCACCTCAAGATGCTTATTATAAACTCAGACATATTGTGGAAGAAATAAACGGCCTTCTCACGTAAGCCAAACCATTTGTTATATGCAAAAATACTATGACTATGTCTCCCGCGGTAGGTTGTATTCGGACGACGCTAATCCACACATAGTTTCCCCAGTGCTTGGCAATGTGTGTTTTGCCAGTTCTCAATACGGCGTTTGCTTCACTTTAAAGTCCTTTGCAAACATTTACCATCAGTATTATGGGGAAGTTAATATTGATGAATTTTCTAAGAGGCTGTGGGGGGACATATACTTTAACAGTAAAAAGTAAGTCGCATTATGGTTATTTGTTTTTCTGTGCTAAATGAACGCGGCATTTTTTTTAGTCGCAAATTTACAAAGAAGGCGCCCCACAATTCAGCTCAGCGGAGTTTCGTTGAGTTTATTCTAGAACCATTGTATAAGATATTCGCTCAAGTCGTCGGAGACGTGGACACCACGCTTCCCGACGTCCTAGAGGAGTTAGGAATTAAACTGACCAAAAACGAACGCAAACTGAATATTAGACCTCTACTGCGGCTCGTTTGCAACAAGTTCCTCGGCGATTTTAACGGTAACCAGTCTCATCTTAGAAGTTGTTTTCCATTTAGAGTGTTTCTCTTTAGGTTTCGTCAATATGTGCGTTGAACACATACATTCTCCTTTGGACAATGCCAAGAAGAAAATAGATCACATTTATACTGGCCCCAATATTAGCAAAGTGTACGATGATATGGTTAATTGCGATCAGGAGGGATATTTAATGGTAAGGAGATGAATTTTCTGTATTATTTGATGCGAGGTGTGATGTCTTCAGGTGCACAGCACGAAAATGTACCCGACGGAGGACTGCACCTTTTTCCAAGTCCTGGCGAGAGTAATGAGCGGTACGTTGCACGCGGGCACCGACGTCCGAATCCTGGGAGAAAACTATACCCTCCAGGATGAAGAGGACTCCAGAGTACTCACTGTGGGACGTCTTTGGATTTACGAATCAAGGTATCGTTTTTAAATGAATTAAAATTGTTCTGTATCATAAAATTTAAATGACAAAGTCACCAATCACCATTCACTCTACGCACTGCTATATGTGTATTTATGGGTATTTATGTATGTATTTATTTTTATCTATTTATTTATGTATTTATGAAATTAAATAAGTCATTTCGGGTAAAACTTAAATAACAAAGTCACTAATCACCATTCACTATACATACTACTATTTGTGTATTTATGTATTTAATTATTTATTTGTTTTTCTATGTATTTATGAAATTAAATAAGCCACTCCCCTTAAAACTTAAATAACAAAGTCACTAATCACCAGTCACTACACAGTACTATTTGTGTATTTATGCACATTCGAACTTCGGTACATTGCAGGCAACAATATTATGCAACTTAGTTTATTAAATATTAAGGAAAAATAATGGTTAGAACTCTATAGATACAGTTATGGAATGCCTACTAGTTATTGGTTCAGAAAATATAGTTGTACTTCAGTAAGTCTATCCAAAAAATTGCACCTACGTCTTTGGTGAGCGAGTTTGGAGTCTGTAATTCTTTGGTGTGCTAACCATCTGTACATGAGTGGCGGAACTAAATCTTTATTTAGTTAGGAATATTCAATTTTGTTTTCTCAAAGTCTTCCTTAGTGGGAGGATGAAACAGTAACAAAATACACTACTGTCTGGATACAATGTAAGATTTTGGGAACATGCTCATGTTTACAGTCCTGACACTCCGCATCAGTGTGTTATATTATTTTTTTTGCTTAGTTCTTTAAATTCTTTAATGTGGAATTTTAAGACTAAAAAACGTTTCTGTTTCATTTTTTTTGGCAATTCTATATTTACTGTTTAAAGATTGTGAATTTGAATGAAACCAGCCTCTGGCTGAGTTTTTAATTTGTGCTTTTGCCAGACGTTTACGAGAGTAGGCTGCTTGTTCCTATTTTTTTTATTTGCTATAAAAGTATTAGTAGATTTAGAACGCACCTGCCAAATATTTTCGAAATGCCCTAACTCAGAATACTTTTACTTAATTAATAACTTATGCAAATTAACATGTAAAGTGTTGTAAATCCCTCAAAAAATTTTAAATAATTTTCTAAAAGTATACAATGCGACTACTGCAACTTCAATGACAACAGTACCACACAATCCATAGATAAAAATCTGTTTAAGTTAAGTTAGTAAAGCGTTTTCGTGTGACGTCATATTTAAAGGACTCTAGTTCACTTCATGTCTTGCAAACTTCAACAGGTCTTTAAAAAAGTATTTATGATGTTTTGCCTTAAATCTGCAAAGGCTCTGTTGGAAAATGTTTTGGTACACTTGATATTACATTTACAATATTATTCTCTTCGTTGAATTTTCAGTAATTAAGGTAATATAATTTAAAAAGACTTCTCCGAGGCTAATTATAAATTTGACGTCAATTCAGGTACAAAGTGGAATTGAATAGAGTGCCCGCCGGTAATTGGGTGCTGATCGAGGGTATCGATCAGTCTATCGTGAAAACGGCAACGATCACCGACCTCACGATTCACGACGAACTCTACATATTCAGGCCGTTGAAGTTTAACACGCAGAGCGTGATAAAAATCGCGGTCGAGCCGGTCAATCCTTCGGAACTGCCGAAAATGCTCGACGGGCTCAGGAAAGTAAACAAATCGTATCCCCTGCTGACCACGAGGGTCGAGGAGAGTGGCGAACACGTCATTTTGGGAACGGGCGAGCTTTACTTGGACTGCGTCATGCACGACCTCAGGAAAATGTACTCGGAGATAGATATCAAGGTCGCCGATCCGGTAGTGGCGTTTTGCGAAACGGTGGTCGAAACGTCCAGCTTGAAGTGTTTCGCCGAAACGCCCAACAAGAAGAACAAACTGACGATGATCGCGGAACCGCTGGAGAAGGGCCTCGCCGAGGACATCGAAAACGAACACGTGCAGATTGGTTGGAATAAGAAGAAACTTGGCGAATTTTTCCAGAACAAGTACGATTGGGACTTGCTCGCCGCGCGGAGTATCTGGGCGTTTGGCCCCGATAACACAGGTTTGTAACTTCACTATTGGGTTTTCAGTTGGTTCTAATATCTCAATGATAAAATAAATTATCTGCTCGCTTTGAAAAATGTTGAGACTATACAAAAAAAACTTATGTGGTCCCTGATTTTGAAGTCTTTACTATTAAGTATACTAATACTAATAAGTATACTCACTATTTTTTTTTTGAGAGGGGAAATCTTCAAGAAGACACTATCCTGCCCGTACAGTCAAGCGTGTGGGATTTTTACCCACTAAAACCCCTTCGCCACGTTCGATACACCCGGAACCGTCTGTGGACATAACCTCAGGTGCATCTGACAGTCGGGCTAAGTGCTGGTTCTCCTTTGCCTTTCAAGTTCGTCTCTTTCCTTTAAACTCATAATGTTACTGATAATTTTGTGCACCACATTCCAATATTCCTTTTTTAGGGTCATAGTTTGAATTATATTATCTGACGTCAGTATCTACCCTATTTTATTACTTGCATCCCTTCTCATATCTTTCCATCTGTCACAATCAAATATAGTGTACTCTGCCGTATCGTCCTCTGGGCAGTATATGCATCGATCTGCCTCATCTTTATGAAAACGCTTCGCATACGCCCTGTAACATCCGTGTGCAATCAATGCTTGTGTTAAGAAATAGTCTATATCTCGATGTGCACAATCTATCCAGCTTTTAATATTCTTTCTTAGCCTCTTAGTCCACTGCGCTTTTTTGTCTCTCTATCCCACCTGTCTTGCCACTCTACCAAGGATATTTGTCTTGCCTTAGTTTTTCTGTCCCTTTGTTCTTTGTGTTCTTGTATATATATTCGCTCTTTTATTAGTAAGTTCATAGGTAGGACACCAGTCACAACCTGAAGTGCAACCGCGGATGTCGTCCTGTAGGCTGACGCCACTCGCAGAAGCATGTTTCTTTGTGCGCTAAGGACTTTGTTTCTGTATTTTGCTTTCTCGATGGCTTTGCTCCAAATGGGTGCTCCATACATTATTATATTTTGCGTTGCATTGCACAACATCTGTCTCTTCGCAGCTCTTGGCCCTGCTACATTTGGTAGCAATCTTTTTAATTTTGCCATTTGCCATCTTTTTAATTTTGCCAATGCTTGATGCGGCCGGCATTAGGCAACTAACAAAAAGCTGTCATGCAAAGAGGTGCAAACTCTTTCTGAAAATAATACATAGGAGAATTTTTAAACAATGCGAAGATCAAGTAAACTGCACACAGTTCGGATTTCGAAACGCGCTAGGTACTAGGTACTAGTTAGTGTTCAGGTCCTTTTTCAAACGGTGCAGGGACGTCAGTTGCTTTGCCTGCTTCATCGACTACCAGAAAGCCTTTGATAACGTGCAACACAACAAACTTATTGAAATTCTAAAGGAGATCGGATTGGGCGAACAAGACCTACGAATAATTATCAACTTGTACTGGCAACAAACCGCATCTGTGCGCATCGAAGGAGAGGAGTCGGGGGATACTTTGATAGAAAGAGGGGTCCGTCAGAGCTGTGTGCTGAGGCCTCTACTTTTTAACGTATACTCGGAACGAATTTGTCAGGAGGCTCTGGAAGACACGAACAGTGGGATTAAGATCAACGGCGAGTATATAAACAACATAGGATACGCAGATGACACGGTAGTGTTTGCTAATAGCCTAGAGAGTCTCCAAGAGATGATGGTTCGGGTGGTCGAGGTCAGTGAAGGATACGGGCTTTCTCTGAACTTTAAGAAAACAAAATTTATGGTTGTGTCAAAAACCAACAACCATGTTGGCCAACTTTCTATAAATAACCAGTATATAGAACGAGTTCAGACTTGTGTTTATCTCGGAACCAAGATAAGTGAAACGTGGGATCACTCTCTGGAGATCAAATGCAGAATAGAGAAGGCCAGAGCCGCATTTCTGGAAATGGCAAAACTATTTAAATGCCATGATCTATCACTGCCAACTAAGATCAGACTATTGAGGTGCTATGTATTTCCAGTGCTGTTCTACAGGGTGGAATCCTGGACTTTAACCGAGGCTGCGTGTACAAGAATCGAGTCATTTGAGATTGTGGTTATATAGACGCATTTTAAGAATCCCATGGATTGACCATATAACCAATTCTAGGGTCCTAGAAAGAATGGGTAAAGACAACGAGCTGCTTCTCTTAATAAAAACACGCCAGCTTGAATGTCTGGGACACATAAGCGAGCGGCATGACTTGTTGCAGCTAATTCTGCAGGGATAGCGTGGTTGAAGAACCTGCGTAGATGGTTCAATACAACAGTAGGCCTTTTTCGTGCAGCATTTGACAAAGTACGCATTACCATGATGATCGCCAACATTCGTAACGGATAGGCACCACAAAAAGAAGAAGAAAAGTGATTGTTTGTCAATGTTGCATACTGCCCACGGCAATAAAACACCTGGCCGGTCGGTATTGTAAGACATAGCATCAGGGACGGAGTTTTAAAGTATTTTATAAAGATAAAGACAATGACACTGTCCAAAGTAGGAACAATTTTGTTTTGCTAAACGGAATACACTTGCCTTCTTATCATATCTTGTTCTGTTGTCCAGACGGCACGATTGGAAATCACGTTTTTTTCTTTCATTTAATAATTCCCTGTTAACATGTTATCCAGGATATTGGCGTTTTCGTAAGTAGGCCGGTTTCTTTTAAAACTTCTTGTTTAAAGAATCCTCTAATTATTAAACAACCATACACATTTTTCACAATTTGTTTTGCATCTAATTACAAGTGATTTCGAAACTGCATAACCCGTAAGCTTTTTCAAAAACGCAAAGAAGAAGGGGTTATTCAACTCTGCCACTAATATTGACATCTACCTGACCAGCCCCTGTCTTGTCCTTTACCTAAACATACATTATTGGTTGTTGGTTTACCCAATAACAAAAGGTATGAACGTCATCAAGAACCAAGGCGACATACTTTCTGACACACTCTACCAACCTTTATGCTGTCCTAACCTATCTATTAATTAGACCATATTGGCATTTACCCATTTATATAGTATACATAAATGACCTTAAGTGACCTTGGGATATTTTTATTTTATGTAACGTGTAGGGCCTAACATATTGGTGGACGACACCCTGCCCTCTGAAGTGGACAAAGGTTTGCTCAGCTCAGTTAAGGACTCCATAGTGCAGGGTTTCCAATGGGGCACGCGGGAGGGCCCGTTGTGCGAGGAACCCATCCGTAATGTCAAGTTTAAAATCTTGGACGCGGTCATCGCTCAAGAGCCCCTGCACAGAGGAGGAGGTCAAATCATTCCGACCGCGCGCAGAGTGGTGTACTCTGCGTTCCTGATGGCCACGCCTCGTCTAATGGAACCATATTTGTTCGTCGAGGTTCAAGCGCCGGCCGATTGCGTGTCTGCCGTCTACACGGTGTTGGCTAAACGGAGAGGTCACGTGACACAAGACGCGCCCGTGCCCGGCTCTCCTCTATACACGATAAAAGCTTTTATACCCGCCATTGACAGTTTTGGCTTTGAGACCGATTTGAGAACTCATACGCAAGGCCAGGCGTTTTGCCTGTCTGTGTTTCATCATTGGCAGATAGTGCCGGGCGACCCGTTGGATAAATCGATCGTCATAAGGCCGTTAGAACCGCAACCAGCTACGCATCTGGCCAGAGAATTCATGATCAAGACCAGGCGGCGCAAAGGTCTCAGTCAGGACGTCTCCATCAACAAGTTCTTCGACGATCCTATGTTGCTAGAATTGGCCAGGCAGGATGTTATGCTGAACTATCCACTTATCTAAATGTAATTTTGGGAAAATAAATTTAAAAATTTTCTTGGTTTTCTTTTTTCTCTTTACTACTAATTGGCGTGTCTACTAAAGGTCATTCAACCAGATAACAGATATTAAAACTACTACTGAGAATTCTTCGGTATTGGTAAGAATCTGAATTAATAAATCACTTTTTAGGTGTCGGCGACATCCAAAAATACATTTGCATTGTGTTTAGCGGACTTTAGCATGGATCTGTGAGTTGTACGCAATTAATTACCAAGGGCTCCTTTTTATTATCTATTTTACAGTCTTCTACATAATTGATAATACTTTGAAGACTACTATGACATTCCAGGACGGTGCTTCGGTACTTCATACATACAAATGTTGAACGCTAACGGATTTGTGTAGAGTTTCATCGGTGATTTTCTTCGCTTATTATTAGTCCAGTCCATGCAGTCAGAAATCCATTCTTAACAAAAAAAATCACTATCGTCACTGGACTCGTCTGCCACATTAATAATTAATTCTGGCACTAGTCGACTAACATTTTCTTCTTTGAAAACATGTTCTACACGTTTTTTCCAACGAACAGCACTTCACTTCTAATTAATTGTTGTGTTGTTAAACTGGATTTCAGCTATCCCCATATCAGTTCTATCAGATTAAAATTGCAGTGCGGTCATTGCCCTACGGTCAACTTGTCCACATTATACTTCGTATCATTGGGAAGAAGATTTCGGTATTTTTTCCGCCTGTGCAGAATGGTAGCTGGCGTTGCCCATCACATCACTGTGTGGTGGAATATTGGGAAATAAATGTTTCAAAAAACTTTGACATCTTTCGCAGAAAGCAACAAACATTATCTACCCTATTCCGGCATGGTGCATGTCAAGTAGACTTTTTGGGACCCCACGGTCTTTCCGCGTTTTTGTTTCTTGGACACCATTCACAAATATGTCACATACTGTAGCATACAGTGTTTTAGTCGCCAGTTAATTTTATGGCTCCACTTTCCCCGGATGTCGATTTCAAAAACACATTTCAAATTATAATTTTTCAGCAAATGTCTCAGAGTCTTTAATCCATTTAAATTTGACGAATGTTCATTATCAACGATTTTTATGTAATAGACCACATTCTCGACTTCTTCGTCGCTGGACACCACAAGTGACTAACAAAAATGAATAATGTTAGTATTTGGTAAGAAATAAATTGTAATAAAATGTATATGGTATCTCGATAAAAATGGCACACTGAGTCTTGAAAAACTATTAAATAACAGTAAGCTGGTAATTACTAATTATAAATACAAGACGGAATAGAAATAATTCCAAAGTTTTGACGGCTAAGAAAATACTGTTTCATAAAACGGACAGCATACTTTGATTTCACCAACCCCCACAATTCAACCAGTAGTAAATTGGGCAAACACATTATAAATCAATTATCTGTCTAAGATTTTGTATTGCTTTCCTAGGAAAATATTCTAGTGTCATTACGTTAAACCCTTAAATTGGGAATGCGTTTAAGCTTTCCAATGTGTTTTTACAATCTATCTAATGGGCAAATTCAACTTGCAATCAAACTACCTCAGTATGGACTGTAAACAGCAACTGTCGTCTAACACCTTAAATGCGGCACTGGCTTGAATTAGATATTGGATTAGATTTTACTTCTAATGGCCGCGACTACAATAGGTCATTCGGGCACCTTACAAGTGTAACATACAAAAATTCTGAAGAATGCCTTCATTAAATTGGGCCTGGTTACCAGCGTGAATATAAGACATCCGGAAACCATGTTAACATACACATCATGGAATAACACATCACAAATCAGTGTACATCCGCGTAAGACGAACACTTTTTCCCATATTTATAGGCACTACGCCTCTATCACTTCAGATAACAAATGTACAAAACAAAATTTTCTTTAAAGAACACTAATTTCAACCGATTTCTACAGATTTTTTGGAACCGGGCAAGAGCAACGTCCGCCATGTGCAATGGTTCCATCGAAAGTCCCGGCCCTGGCTTGTGGCACACGTGCTGAAAAGAATGATCCCTTCCGCTTTACAACATTCGGGTCATAAACTCATTTTTTAAGTGAAATCACTTAAAGGTTGTAAAAGCGGTAGCTTTTTCGACAAACTATAACAAGTATCACATAATCAATGTTGGGAATGGGCGAATGACCACAACCATAGCCCTCAACCACATATTCTTTAGCAATATCTTCTGTCCATGACAAAGTAGTTGGTTAATATTTATATTTTTGGTTAAAGGCTCATCATGTTTTGATTTCAATTGTTTGTTTTTTTACGGATCCCTTAAGTGTTGTACGCCAAGATGTACAAGGGAATCAAAAGAATGGTTTCTGACAATATGTACCTCTTCTTGGGTATACTTATAGGTCTTTATATATCCTCGTTTCTATCGTCAAGTCTAGACCTTTCTTGCACTATCCTAAACCACGACCATTTAAAAGTAAGCAACAAAACAGCAAGAGAAATTATTGATAATTCCGTAAATCGGTTGGCCCCGAAAGTTGTAACGAAAAATCCAGATAACGACGTTAAGAAATCAAAACTTGTGAGACCAAGGTATTACTCCACTGAATTAGGCATCAGGGAGAAGATGTTTGTTGGTATTTTTACGTCTGAAGAGAAAGTCAACACTCAGGCGATACATATAAATAAGACTATTGGGCATATAGTTGATAAAATTAAGTTTTTTATCACAGCCCAGTATAAACTCAAAACAAAATTCAACTTGACGGGCTTAGTTGGGTTCACTGATGCTAGAAGCAAATATAGACCTTTTCAAGTAATCAAATATGTGGGTGATACTTTTGCTCAAGATTACGATTATTACTTTTTGGCTAATGACCACACTTTTGTCAATATCCATCGCTTAAAAGATATTGTTGCCAAAATAAGTGTTAGTATGGATGTTTATATGGGCACCAGAGTACCTGATGGAAGTTACTGCAGCCTAGGTGATAACCCTGATGTGTTAGTTCAGTTTGAAATTTTATTTTTCAGATGCTGGAATTGTAATTAGCAACTCAGTATTAAAAATGATGAGGACACATTTAGAATGGTGTATTATAAATGCAGTATCTGATGATCACAGTGAAAATTTAGGGCGGTGTGTGCATCATAGCTTGGGACTTACATGTCAGGAAAAAGTTCAGGTTCAGATGAAAATGCAAATCCATTGCTTTTATTACTTTTGCAATGAATTTTAGGGTCAGACAGTACCCTCCTTCAGGCTAAAGCACTTCAACTTACAAGAGCATTTACTAGACTTAAGTAGAAACACAGAATTTAAGGAAGCTGCCACTATATACCCGGTGCTCGAGAAAAATGACTTTTATATGTTAAATGCTTACTTTCTTAAGGTATTCCCATCCATCTAATTTTATTCTTCAATAAGCATTTATTTTAGCAAAGATTATCAGTTTTAAATGAGCAAATTGGGCTATTGTCTAAAACCTTGACAGGTTTTTGGCCTCCTGGACAGAGATCTGGAGCCAAACCAGCTACCAGATTTGATTTGCCACGACAATACTACTTTAATATGACTCATATTTTCTTTCCTGACGATTTTACAGTTATTAGAGCCCATAATGAACCTGAGCTATTAGACATAGAGGTATTTACACCCTCAATACTTACAGCTACCTTTCAATCATCCACTATTACCTTAGAATATAATTGAAAATGTAATTTCCCAAGTTTTAAATGGGAATTCCAAAGATCTGGATTTTAAAAGGCTCATCAATGGTTATAAGACGTTTGACTTGAGCAGAGGTATGGATTACATTCTGGATATAGCATTTAGGGACCGAAATTCTGGCAAAGAAATAGTTAAAAGGTATCTAGGAGATATCTTTGCAGAGGTAATTCTAAGCATTTTTAATTTATTAGGTTTGAAGTCTGCAAGCCCTTGGGTAATGTAGAATTCATACCTGCCCCCTATGTTACCGAAAATTCGCGGGTCACCATCCTTTTGCCTATACAAGAGACTGGGATAGAATTGGCTTTAAATTTTTTATCGACTTACAGTTCCTTGATAATGGATAAGAAAGAGAAAACATTTTTAATGCTTGTATTTATGTATCAATATGGAAGTAGTAGCAAAGGTAATACCATATCAAAATTATCCTATTTTGTTAATATTTTCTTTTCATGGAATTTTAATAGGATTAGACGATGTGTATTTAAAAATAAAGGATTTCGCCACCAAAACGACTGCCAAATATAAAACTGAAGACATTAAAATTGGTTGGGTGTCGATTAGGTTGCCTGACGCTGCCGGAGGGGTGTTTTTGGAAAATCATGGCGCCTTAAATTTCGCACTTATCGACTTAGCATTGAAAAAAATCGGGTTAGACAGTCTGGTGTTGATTTTGGATGTTTATTCCAACGTTACAATCGATTTTCTAAATAGGGTAAGCCAAAGGTAGCTATCGCCCACATTATTTAATTGGATTTTCATCAGGTCAGGATGAATACCATAGAAAATTATCAAATATTTAGCCCCATACCATTTAGGCAATATAACCCGAAAGTGTCTTTAACCGTAAACATGGACGTGTCCAAAAATTCCGGACATTTTGACAGAGAGGAATACAAATATATATCATTTTATGGGAGGGATTATGTGGCTGGTAAAGGTTCGTGGGTGAAAGTATTTTTTGGTTAGTGGTCTGATTACAGCACGAAAAAAATATCAACACCTGGTGCCCTTAATAAGAGTGGATAATGATATAGCAAACGTTTTGGGCGACAACTTCAAGGATGTTGGGAATATTTTGGAAATGTTCCTGCGGTACGGTAGAAAGTTACATTGCATGCGGGCCACGGAGATGAATCTCAAAGTACTGTACCATGAAGAACAGAACCCGAAGCGGGCCAACAAATTCCTGGGAAATGAGGCCCAACTAGCTAGAACATTACTAACCAAAGCAGATCTTATACAGGAGCTCATGTGATTTAGTGTTATTGTTTTTAATTGTTTGCATTTAATGTCTTACTTATATACAAAAATATGTTATGTAAGATGTAAAAACTATTTATATAGAAATATATACCATTTTTATATACTTAAATCGTTGCACACACTCACAATTACTTAATACCTAATATATGAGATTGTTTGAATTTTTTCAAGTCAATTTCTACTGAGGCTGGGCTAAATAAATCGACAATTTTTTGAAAAATATGTCCATAAAATCATTCAGAATCGCCAAAAAAAAATGTTGACAGTTAATCCGAAGTGGTGTATGTATCATTTGAATTTTGACAACTGACAACTCCATTTACAAAAAACAAACAATATATTTTTTTAAAGGAATTTAATTTTAAAAGGTCTCTTTATATAACTTAGTTTTTTCGCATAATTTTTTCCTTCTTTCCTTCCTTGTCCAGTTCATTCCTGAATAACTTTAACAAAATAATTCTGAATTATTTCAGCGATCCTTTCCTTATGTTGCTCCCAAACTGTTTAACTTTAAATTACATTACAGCTTTTTGAACTTTACATGGATAAGACCTGAGTTTTGGGCTTTTTTGATTACCTTTTGCAGTCGTGGTTATGTTGGATTACATTAATAATGTTATTTGAATCTAGGTATAGTATTTTGTAATTTGTAACTAAATATTATTAATTGCAAAGTGCTGATTCTTACGTCGAAATTCATTTTAAAAATCAATATTGTTCTTTTTTGCATGTTGAGTTTGTTCCCGTATGAAAATTCCAAAATGAAAAAGTCAAATAAAAAAAAAATTATATATTGTTTTTAGCACACTGGTCAATTCTGATTGATTTAATTGACATATTTTTCATAGAACCAAATAGTCAATTGTTTTGACCCTGTTTAATGTCCTGACAAGTTTAGTATTTGTTTTCATCACACTCCACGATCTTGTGGTCTTTTCTCAAGTGGACTTTTCGGTAGTAATTATCTATAAATTTCTTGTCGCAGTGCTCACACTTAAAAGGTTTCTCTCCTGTATGAGTCAGTATATGTCTCTGCAGCTTATTATTAAAATTGAACAGTTTGGGACACATAGGGCAAAGGAACTTTTTGTCTTGCTTGGGAGGTTTCCAGTTGCCAATGTCGTGGGCAAGCTTCAGGTGTTTTCTAAGCCCTTCCCGATTTTTGTACTCCTTTTCTTCGCAATTGGGGCATTTGAAGCGCCTCTCGCTTGAGTGGCTTAGAACATGTTTAGTAACTTCAGACTTGTTGAAGAATTTTTTGTCACAGATATGGCAGGAAAAGTCTTTAACGCCGGCGTGACGTTTCATGTGGATAGCGAGACCACTGTTTATGGGGAACCGCCGATCACAGATTGAACAGGCATATTTCCATTCCTTGGGGTCCATATGCTTAACAATCTTATGGGTGCGCAAAATACTGGTTGTGTTAAATCTTTTTTCACATACATTGCACTGGTATTCCCGCTTATTTAAATGAATTTTGCTATGGTGGTATAAGTCCCCTGAGCACACGAAGCTCTTGCCACAAGAGCTGCATATATAAGGTTTCTCATTATTGTGTTTTCTTTTGTGTACCAACAAACTGTGGGAATTAATAAAACTAGCTTCACATAGACTGCACTGGTAGGGCTTCTCAAATGTGTGATTAGCTCTTATATGAGCTGACCAATGTTGTCTTCGATTAAAGAGTTTGCCGCAATATTCACAATTCAATGGATCTTTCCTTTTGGCATACTTTTTTCTAAGTTTAGGTTGCCTTATTACTTCCTCATCACTAGGTATATTATTATCATCAAAACCTCCATTTTCAAAAAATTCATCATCACAGTCACTATCGCTGCCAGTTTTAATTAACTCTAACTCACTGTTTTCCTTATCTTCACTCACTTCCACTTTTTCATTAACTTCAATTATTTTCTTTTTAATACTATGAATCCGGGTTATATGTAGCTTAAGAAAGCGTTTCTGCTTGAACTGTTTCTTGCATGTATCACATTCTAATATATTTTTTGATTTTTCCTTACACGTCGATTCTTCTTTCAAATCACACTCAATTAGATTAATGAATTCTCCCACATTATTTTTGTCCCTAAGCTGTAACAATTTTTGGTTCCTCAAAGTTTCACTTTTACGGCAATCCTCAATAAAAATATATGCCAGATCCAGTCGACCAATGCAAAGTTTGCAAATGCTAAGCTGCTCGCTCTCCCAATCCTTAAATTGCAATTAAATTACTTTAAACTAAATCAAATTAATAAGGACTACCTGGTTTGGTTCACAAACTTTTAATTTTTTAACATATTTTGTGTCACGTTCGTCGATTTGCAACACGCTGACGAGATTCGTTGCAGTCTCAATGCAAATACAGCAAAAGGCGCTCGATGTCGACATTATTTAAACATTACAACAGTTTAAAAGAAGCAAAAACCTCATTAGATTCAAGAAAAGGCCGACTTCTATTTCAAAGATAAACATTGGTTAGTTTTTTTTGCTGCTATTGGGCAAATTTGCTAGGATCATTCGACCAATTGGTTAGTTTAGTAGTTCACTCTTTTTTTTTAATTTTACTGTTGATCGAGCTCCAACGCGCAGAGTTTCTTCATCCTCACATAAGTTTAACAAATAAATAAATACCGCTGATATTATTAACTCATTGCCAAATCTGTCGGAAAATTGTTCTTTGGTGGTATTTACCGCCACTATACTAAATAAAATTTGGCGTTTTGTCGTTAGGTACGCTCTGTGAAAGAGATTTGGATTATAAATATTGGTTATGGATGTTACATGTTAAAATAGGGTTTTTCGTCTATATAATAAAAAGTAATCGGCCAGTGAATAGGGAAATAATTGTTTTCATTTATAGAATAAATAGCAGTAGGACGCCATCCTATTTTTCGGCTCGTTATCGATTGAAAGTTGCTAGAAATAAAATAAAAAACTCGCACCCGCTCCCTGCCGGTTATTTATCTAGCAATTTCGTTTTTATTGCCGGCATTTCGGGTCGTATAATTTGTATCCGCGCGCGATCCGTCGCTTTTGTTTCTTTTGAGTTTGTTGTGCGTTATTAAAAAGTAGAAAAGATATATGGCGGTCCCGCGCTTTTCCGCGGTTTAATCCCGTCTCCGGTAGTTTTATTGCCGCCTCGTTCCAAGTTCAGGACCGGCGCACTCGGATAATTATTGAACACAGTAGCCGTTTCCCCTATATGGCTAGTACAGACGTCCAGTCTAAATGTTAATAATACATAAACTTATTAAGCCACAACAAGAAGGTCAATTCAACATGCGCATGCGCGAGATTTAAAATGTCGTTTTTAACAACTGACATTTGTAATTGCAAATTGTGGCTCTCGACCAACAAGTCACGGGCCCTGACAGAAAGTCAAAAAGTTTGAATGCGGCAATTTTATAGTCTATTTAGAATCCATTGTTGCTGTTGGCTTTGTGTAGTTTAGTTTTGTTAAAATAAGAATATATTTTGTTAATTTTGGTTACTTTCTGTTATTGAGAAGAGACAAAAGAGGAGAGAGCATATACGTATTTACACTATTATTTAATAATATGTACATGGGAGCGGGAGTATAACTTGGCTGCGATCTATTGAATTAAAAGATTTAATTATTTCTAAAGTTATACTCATTTGCAATGACGTCATGCTGGTTGCCAAAAACGCACGTTTCTTGCGGACAAATATCATGTTACCTCGAGGATATTAAGGCGTAGGGTTTCAGTTTCATTTTTAAGGGCATCAATTTGTTAAAAAATATGTAATTTAGAACCTATTGCATCGTTTTCGTGGCATTATTTACAACTTTCGAAGTAACTTTCCACAAGTTGACAATTGGTATTGGTATTTAAGGGGGCGCCAAGCGAACGTCCAAGCACTTAGGTCACCAGATGGGCCCGTTGTACCCCCAGACCACGCTAGAGGGCGTCCAGAATGCCGCCCCTCATGTAGAAGGTCAGCAACTCCTTTAGCCCAATACCGTGCACTGAGTGCAGATCCATCATGGTCGTTCCGAAGACTCCAAATCTTGCCCATGTCAAAGCAGGGCACTCAGTGAGAAGATGATACGAGGTCTCCTCCCCTTCCATGCACCACCTGCGCTCCGGGTCGTCTCCAAAGCAAAGATGCCTCCTAAGCATGCAATGTCTTGTGTAGACCCTGTTAGTGATCTACAGTCCCTTCTGGGCAGTCCAAGAAGTTCCCTGGTCCGAGGGCAGGCGGGCCCACGCACGGAGCGATCCCCCAGCGGGGCTCTGGTCCCATATGCCTGTGCGAGGGGCCCTCTCTGGCTAAGGCGTCCGCTGCCCGGTGCGACCCGGGACCCGACCAACGTGACAGTCCTCTCCTCGGCCGCTTCCCTTAGTACCCCTTTGCACTCCTTTATCAACAAGGATCAACAAGGAGTGCAACACTACTGTCGGAGCAGAAGAATACTCTCCTGCTACCGTAGTTGAGCCGAAGCACCTCTCTGGTCGCCATCAAAATAGTGAAAATTTCCGCCTGAAACACGGTGCAGTACAGACCCAGAGGGACCGACAAGCTTGATCCCGTTGTCTTGCAGTACGCTGCAGCTCCGGCCAAAGTTCCCTTTCTGGACCCGTCCGTGTACCAGGAGATCAATTCCACGAGCCAACTCTGCTCTCTCTCCACTCCTCCTTTGATGGGAAGACAAAGCTCCATTTGTCAAAGAAGGTCGTCTCAGGGGTCATGACGTCACTCGGCATGCCTATGACATCGCAATCCCTGCGCCAGCATGTCGTACGGGACCCGCTTGAAGGTTCCCTCTCTCCAGAGCCCGCAGCTCGCTAGCATTACAGCCGTCCTGGCCGCGTCCATCCGCACCCGATCCGCCAGAGAGCGCAGACCCACCAGAACCCCCGGGGCCCTCATGGCACCCGTTATGCACAGGCATGCCAATATCTGCAGCTTATCAAGAAGTAGTCTTGCTCCTGCTCTTTTGGTCCCCATCCCCATTCCCATCCCGATGTTTTTGACTGACAGTGATGGATATTTCACATAATCTTAAATAAACGTATAGAAAAAGTGAAAGAAAATGGAAATAGACGTCACTCGGGTTTATCTAAAATCCTATTAGGTCCTTATATTTGCGACATTTGCTCTAATTTTATGAAAGATGAAAGTATTGAAAGCAAAAATTATACAAAGCGTTTTAAGAATCACGCGTTATTGCGGACTTTTTGCACCTCTTATAGAATTTCCTTGTTTCTAGCTTTGTAAGTCTGAACTTCTTTCCGTAATTAAAAGAGAAAATAGTTTTAATTGTAATGGAAAATGTGTTTCATGCAGGCATATTTTTAAAAAATACTGCCCTAAAAATGCTGCATTCAAACTTATTAATGATCTGTCAGCGGCCATGTTAGTTGTTGAATGCTGCAAGGGCATTGGCTAAAAACGAAATTTTAAATCCCGCGTATGCGCATGTTGGATGGTTTTCTCATTGTTATTGATAGTTGCTTCATAAGTTCCTGTATTATCGGAGTAGGAAGGGCCTTTATGTCTCTGGTAACTATATGGAATAAACAAAATTTAAACTACTCAAATAAAAATATTTTTACTATTAAAAGCAGACGATTCGATAAGTACAACGAAATAAAAACAAATCTAATTTTTTTAAATTAATAACCCAAAATATTTGCTATTTTAGAAAATTGTCGGGAGCATTATTGCGTCGTAGGTAACGTTGAATTCTGTCGGTTAACAAGGAAAAACGTAAACAACAACGTAAATAAAACAACGTCAAAATAAGAGGCGCAAAAAACGCTATTGGCGAAAAAGTGACCTGTTCTAGTCTTCGGGGTATCTAGCTATATCTGACCGCGGTAACCAAACAAAACCCCGGTCAGAATAAGCGCGCGCGAGAGGGGTATAAAGACAAACACTTTATTTTAATTTCCCCTAGGAAGCGCGGGGAATTATACGTGAAACTGTATGCCCGTTACAGACCATTGAACTTAATCGTCGAAGACGGCTTCCAAGGCACCGCTGCGGATAAAACCTCAGGCTCAGACAGGCTCAACTAGTCATTCATACAATCCTTTAATATTGTTTGTTAACAGTTTTAAGGGAATAGCTAGAGTGGGGAGGACTTGTTGGAGGATTGCTGATTCTATAATGTACCAGAGATAAACCACTGACACTTGGGCACGATTATTATCGTCTTATAAAAAACACACATAGCATAAAGAACAATAACACAAACCAAATAAAATACATGTGTCACTTTATTCAATAGTTTTTATTTTAATACTTTAATATAACTTCGCGATAGCGCGTCTATTGTGCAGGATGTACCATATTCATACGCAGAAGGGTTCGCAAGACTAGCACTTCTGAAGCATATGTTTGTTATAAAAGCAAAATGTCCAAAACAGAAAAATGTTAGGTGGCGAAACATTTAAACGACCCCAGTTACCTAAGAATTGTAGAAATAAGAAATAATACTCTAATGCTTCCAAATAAATATCCCTTAGAAATACAAATTATTAAAAGAAACAAAAATGCAAAAAAGAACATCATTAATTGTTATTATAACAATTTTTATTTCACATTTTCTTTTTCAATGTAAACTAAGCAAATATCAAAAACAAGTATCCATTATATGCACATATACATATATACTATACATAATGAAGCTAAAAAATGATTGGCTTTAAATTATTGACAACGAAATCTTAAAAGTAACATTTTTCCAAAATATGATACACAAAACAAAAAAATAATAATTAAAATGGCTATTTTGTTTTAAAATTGGGTAGTTTTTCGATTTTCTGTGTCAACCACGAATTTATTATTATCAATAAATATCCAAAATTCGTCGTTTTTCAACTATCTCACCGTGTACAGGCAAGGACAGCAATAAATTTGGGTGAAGATGCAAAAATGAACACTCCGCTTAACTGTTCAGAAATAATTTAATTAGCTGTGATTAGTTTGTATTTTTTGGTTGTTATTTTTGTTGATAATATTTATACTGTGATAGAGAGTACAACTTGACAACGATGGACTAGGCAACAAAATGCGTCACGTAAAAAGCGCCATTTTGAGAATCTAAGTTTGAGCACATGTTTCGGAACCATAGGAACCACTGGGTTGAAAGACAACATTTCTAATAAAAAAAACTAAACAAAACTGACCTCACAAAAATGTCACTTTTCTGCTAATGCGTGTTCATTTTTGTTTAAAATTAGGATGTTTTGAGTTGCACTATGTATGGGCCGCATTAAGAACTATTAATACGTTGTGTCCATTGGCGTGCAATTCTAACCAATGTTGATTTTAGGCAGATTAACTATGGTTGTACAACCCATATAAATTGCCAAAACTAGTAACGACCAGAGACACTAACTATCCCAAGCTGTATAAACAATTTATTTTTAATTCTCCAAAACTTATCTTCTCCCTTTTAGTATTCGATTAAGCTAGTTACTATTTACA